TGTCCTGCATTGCTGCAGCCCAAGGGGATGAAGGAAGTTTATCCCTCTCTCTCTCCCTGGTGAAGCAGTCTGAGTTCTGCAGGGCAGGGAAAGAATGGAACTTTCCTAGCAAGAACAAGAGCTCCAGGCATTTTATCCAGCTCTGAGAAACCTCCTGTAAGTGCATAAGCATTTTCGTAACAGTAGTTCCCATTTTCATAGTTTGGCCAACTTTGGGAAAATTTGCATAAGAATAGGGAGCATATTTCTGACACAAAACCTTACCCACCAATCTTCCAAATTGCAACTTACTCTTTCAGTGCATGAAATGCTGCAATTTCTCAGGGAACAATCACCTGAATCGTTCTGAAATTGCAGAACATTGGGCTCTTTAACTTGTTTCATGGAAATGTCTGAACAGTTGTGTCTGAAATTGGGTGATGTGATCGTGTACGGGAAATCCAGACTGTCAGGAAATAACAACCCAGTTATTTATTTTCCCTGTTTTTCAGGGCTTTGTAAGAAGAATCATCTTGTAGCCCTAGTGACTGGCAAAGCCATGAGTTCTGCCAGTGATAATGTTATTGATACAGCTACCAATATTGTTGGCTTTCTAACAAGGCACATTGACTACAAATTACTAGTGCAATTCTTTCTGTGTTGTCAGGATTTGGTGTAGGGTATTTTAACTCCTAACCAAAGACCAGTCTTCATGATGCCCAACATATAATATCTGGCACACAAATTTGTTATTCACATTAGTAATAATGCTGGAAGCTGAAAGTTTTGATGTGTCTCTCAACTGTTTATTTTGTATGTATGTGCGCATTTAACATATCCCTCACGATACATTTTGCTTCTTTGTACTGGGATGCACATGAGAGTTATTCTAGAAAAATGCAGGAAAGCAGAGTTTGTCAACTACTGCAAGTGGAAAATTTAAACGTGATTCAGCTTTTAATGAAGAGAGTAATTCTCTTTCATCTCTCTGCTAGACATGTAATTCTAGCTGGTCCTTCATTAGTACAGCTTTCATCAGCATGAAGATAAAGCTGTATTTAAGAAATTACTTAAGATTAGAGTTCAGTATGAATTTTGTTTGCTATCTAAATGTGTTACATTTTTCAAACTGGAGTTTGAATATGTCACAGAAAATGTGCTTCTGATTTTTTAGGGTTTTTTTTTTCTTTCTTTGTGGGTAGTATTCTGGGTGCCAGAGCCACTGTGAAACTCTTCAAATTGGCATGATGTCTGTCACACACAGTTATGAATTAGTGAAGGAAAGGTTCAGAGTAAATTGCATTAGCAGAGGTGCATATACTATTACATAATTCATTGCAAGCAGTGTTTTGTAAAATTAATATAAAATCTAACATAGTCTTTAAAGGTTTAAAGGGAAAAGACTAATGGCGTCAGATCCATTTTGTCCTGTTTCCTGCTTACTGAATTCCAGCTGACAGCCTAGGAAGCCCACACCTCATTACCATATTTTGAAACATCTGTTAAGGAAAACAGATCTGCTTGCCAAAATTCATCTTCCTTTCAGAAGTGCCAAGTATGTGAACAGAACCATTATTCCTTAGGCAAAAAAAGACCATATTCAGCTCTGCTGTCATCAGCCACATTAAGGCTTTATTTGGTTCAGAATGTATGTAATTAATTGAGGAAAGCTATTCATACAATGTCACTGTAATTACTGAAACATGAATATTTCTGCCTTGTATTTCATCTGAGAAATAATCCTTAGGTATCAGCCACATTTATTCTAATTCTACATTTTAACAGCTTGCTACCTGTTAATGTTGTAAATATGACATCAGAGCTACTGCTCTGTAAATGAGCTGCCATCAGGAACCAGATGCTGAAGCTGTGTTTTACATGAAGGGAGATGGTGTGCTTCAGTCCATAGTTCTGGACTAGTGGCTCAGATATCTCCTGTATACTGTAACTACCTGTCTCTCAAAATACCCCTTGCAAGAACAGTATCTCCCTTAACTAGTCATTAAAGATTGCAGTAAGTCTTGTAAAAGGTACTTATTTAAGACCTGTTTCACAAAACCAATAAAATGTTAGCCTTTTATATTTGCATACTTTTTTCTTTTTTTTTTTTCTCTAGCCTTGCTTATTCCAAGTCTCTGTGGCCTTAAAGGGATTCAGTTATTGACATGTAGGTAAGTAGAAGATGATAAGATTCTGGAGGACATCAGTTTTCTTCTTATTTCCTAGAGTAGACAGCTGTGTAAGCACACCATGCCTATGTACTGCTTTCCATTTCATCCTTTGACTTCAGTTTCCTAATTAAAACAGTTTGTTCTGAATGAAAATGAAAAGCAAAACAATTAAATGCAACTTTCTCCTTATCTCTTAATGAGGCAGTAGCAAGTGGTAACAAGACAGGGAGCCACTACTCCATAAGTGGCCAGCTCTCCTGGACTCAAACCCCTGCCCTATGGAGTCCCAGGACAGAGGGCACAGCTTGGTGCTGTGAATGTGTTGCAGTGTTGTGCTGGGTAGCAGAGTGGTTGGTGCTCTGAACTCATCTAAGTACAAGCTGCCACTGCACTAATTCCATTGCTGGTCACACTACCATGTGGTCAGTTAGATTCAGGGAGGGATCCAGCTGAAACTAAAGGAGATGGTTGCCTCACTATTCAGCTGGATCCGTCACTGTTCAGGCTCATCACACTGTGGGTGCTGGTATGGGGAAAAGGAGGGCAGGGCATTAGCACGTGAAAGTTTACTTTGCTGGGAAAAACTTCATGATACACAAAGGTTTGTTTTCAGATGTTCTTTCCACTTTCCCCTTTGTGTGTATTTATGTATGCTGTTGTAATGCTTTTCTCTTTGCTATTTCCCTTTATTCTTTCACCTCTTTCCTCCACTTCTTGATCAGTCAGATGTACACATGTACATCTGTAGTCTGAATTTATCCCATTAGCTCTGCATGTATCTCTAGTCCCTGCTAGAATTAAGGTACCTTTCTTTATAGTGCATGTTAAATTCATGCCCAGACAGATGGATTACTAGCCCTCTCCTGACCTTTTTCCACCTGCTTAAAACTAGGCATCACCTGCTCTGGAACCCTCAAATGGGGTCAACTCAGTGAGACAAGTCAAAGTCAAACCCCTACATTGTAATGGGAGTGTATTTGAAGGTATGAACAGAAATAAGCTTGAACTGATCTAACAACTTCCCACAGCCACTGAGAAAGGATGTCATTGTAGCTCTTCCCATTGTACCTCTTCCCTGGCTGTCCTGGTAACACAGCTCTGTTCAGTACCTTGGGCCAGCTCTAGTGCCTGGTCAGCCTTTCCCAGAAATGCTTTGTTTCTCTGATCTGTTAGGAAATTCACCCAGCAAAGGGAAGGCAGACAGACAGAGTCCAAGGAAAGGAGAAGACTCTTGGGACTGGCTGTGGAACAGCAGATGAAAGTAGCAGGGGAGGAGAGATAGGAAGCAAAACCTTAAAATTTTTACAGCAGTGAAGTTTGAGCATCCTCGTTTCCAGACTGACCTCACATCTGAGGTCCCATTTGACAAATTATCAGCTGAGTGCTGAAGCAATCTAGTGCACAACAACTGTGCTACATACATTGGTGCTGACTGTTAGACCACAGCCAAGCCTAACCTATTTTGTAACTGTGCAAATATTGGTGAGATGTTTTCCTATTGCTCTTGGGAAAAGTAATGACACTCAGAGTTGTCACTTATCCAAAAAAGGCCAGCATAGCATAATCTGAAAGTCCCCTGCCCAAGCTCTTCATGTTCTCAATGAAGTAGTTATAGTATAGCTACTATATACTATAACTACTATGCTCTTTCCTTTCCTTCCCACTTTTCCTGCTGCTAGCTGAGTAATCGCTGCTTCTCTTAACTCAGCCAGTGGTCTCTCACGTGAGGCACCTAAAGCAGGTAGTAGTCACAAGATAGTTTTCTAACTACATGAGTGCTGCTCATCAGTCACTTGTAAATCATTGTCCAAACACCCACTGCATGTGCATCTCTGTGTGTGTGTACTCTGCCTCTGCTGTTTGGATCCAAAGGACCTGATACCATCACCAGAGTTTAAGAGAAGGTATCCATACCTGCAGATCAGGTGGGCCAAGGTCAAGGTTCCTGGCCTGAATTTGAAGTACCAAGTCATCACATCCACCAACCTGTGTTTCAAAGCTCTGTGTTTTGACTTACAAGTCTTTGATCTCCATAAGAAATCCAGGGAGAGGCTGCTAATCTCAGATATGCTCTGTGTGTGCAAACCAAGATTTCTGAGTGGTTTAGCAACATATTTTTATGCCATGTCTTTATGCTTTGGTTTACAGTTGTAAAAAAAATTTATCCTTCCTTTGTGATCATCTTCTGTAGGCTTTCCTGCTATGGTGTAAAAAGGTACTGGTAATGAACTGCTGCTCCTGCGGCATCCAGAGCCACAGGAGAGAGAGACTCCAGTGCATTGTATCAGATTGGTTTCCCTCACTTTTCTGGGTTTGGAACTTGCTTTGAAATATTATTACTATCTCTGTTTCACTAACATATGTGAACTGGATCATCTCTGGTAGCATCTTCAACATTCAAATATCAAAAGTAGCCAAGATGGGGCAACATTCATGCATCTTTCTTCTGTATTATGGTGGCCAGTGTCACTTGTAACTCTGAGGTTATAGCAAAGACAGGTCACTATTACTTTTGTTCAAAAGCTACAAAACACATTGTTTGGCATTCCTCAGAGAAATGTACCTCAATAAGATAAATGAAAAAAAGGGAGATAAGGAGAGAACGTGCTACAGGCAAGGGGGTTGGAATTAGATCCTTTCCAATCCAGAAAATTCTGTGATTCTGTGACTTTTCATACTTACCACTGCTCAGATATGGGATGTAGGGAGACGGAATGAGATGGCAACTTCTAGATGAGCATTTACCTTGTAAGCAAAGGTGATTAAAAGAAGCTGGTTTGCTTACTTATCTGATTATAAGAAAAATAAGATATGCTATTTTGGCCATGGAATGAGAAAAGCATGACTCACCAAGACCCATGTTTTTCCAAAACTTTATCCAATGGTAGTCCATTCTTCATCTCTCTGTGCCTCTGGGAGCAATTATTCTTCATTTGTCTGCCTTTTTGTGTTGAAAATTCTTCATTTAGTGACAGCTATCTGTTACTTTTGCAATTTACTCCAAAATGGACTCCTACTTCAAGAGGGACTCATTAGTAAGACTGCTTTTTAAATACAAGATAGGATTTATGAAATCAGTTTTATGGAGGATATATGTGAAGGCTGGTGGTATTTCAATAGCTTGATCTCAGCTGTATCAAAACCAGAGAATATAAATATTAAAAAATGAAGTGATCACTTCCCTATATCAATCTAATCCTGGCATCTGGGAGTGTCAGAATTTGTTATTCATGCCTTTTGAGCATTTTTATGTTTTCTGGGGAAAAAATCCTGTTCATTATCTCTTCCTCTGCATCGCAGTCTCATCTTTGAGAACTTCCTCAAGAAGATGCCTTCCTGTGCATCTCTCAGGAACATATTGCATAGAGGGCATACGTACTGAGAAGTTTAGCATGTACCATTCACCGGGAGTAAGATGAACACAGGCTTAGATGCAGCAGTCCAACCTATCTTGGACCTATTCCTTGCACCTATAGGTAAGGTGGCAAATTTTGCCCAAGATGATTTCCATAGCTATCATGGCTTCCATTTGATTTCTCAGAGGCTGAACTTCTTGAGAAAGTCTCTTTTATTCTTTCCTTCTTACTTGGATGCCTGAAAAACATTTGGGAGTAAAGTGTTGCTAGTCCTTTTACTTTGTCCCCCATTTCACATTCATGTTACCTCTTTCTCCCCTCTTCTTCCTTCTCTCTCTAAAGGTTGAGAGTATCTAAAGTAATTTATGCTCCTGCATTTTGAATTTTTCTGAGCTGTTTATAATGAGATTGCCAAATGCTTTTGTGACTGAAAGAAACTACAGAGAACCCAAGGGTGTAATATAAAATACTCCAAGTGACTTGAAACCAGAAAAGAGTTGGGTTCAATTTACCATCAAGACTTGACCTTTCTGTAATTTTACAAAACTGTGAAGGTCTACTGGGAGTGAAACATTTTCAAAAAAATAAATTCTGTTAGTAATCCAGTCAGCACACTAGGGTGCAAGTCCGTTCCTGAGTATACTGCAGCTCAAACAATAATAACCTGTATTTGTATGTGTCTAACCTGCAGGTTATCTGCTTGAAAAGCAGAATGTCATCCAACAGCAGAGTGAGTTGTATATGTGTGTGAGGAAAAAAAGGAAGAAAAATTTTCCTCGGAGTCCCTCCATTGTCTGTTCCCTCTCCCCCACCTTCACCTTCCTTACCTTGTATTTTGTTTGAGTTATCCCAGGGTGCAACAATGTATTTTAAGGAGTAGGGCTTTTAGAGGTGTGTGGGTTATCTGAGCACAAAGTTTTACATATGAAAACACAGTACTACTGATGATATTGTCTGAGTTTTTTTTAATCTAGTGCAATGAACTATTAAATTCACTTTAAGAAAAAAATCTATCATTCCTCTCTCGACCGGACTGAAAGCAGGAGGGGTTCAATTCTTAGCTGTGGCAAAGGAGAATTGCTCTGAGCAAATTCTCATTACCTGCTTAATTAGTAATACTTTTGAAATCATATTTTAACAGCTAGAATTTGTCTGCCCTGTGCAATAAAAGTCACATGGTCATGCAATACTATAGGACACCCCATGATAAACTACATCAGTGAACATAACCATAGCTGTGTCCCTACTTTTCTTCCTGTAAAAGTGAAAGGGACTCTCTTATTGTCTCTCACTTTATGGAGCCACAAGGGGTGGGCTTCTCTGTAGTGCAGCAAAGCAGTGAGCCAGATTACTTTATTTGGGTATAGGATTTGGCTTCAAATCAAAATATCGATTTCTGCTAACATGTTGAATGTTGGATTGGTGCAAGATCCCAGTGGCCTGTGGTAAAGAAAAATCTTGCCACTACTTTCTTGAGATTTATTCCTTGGTAAGGAGAGCAGAGAAGTATTAAGATTCCTTATCTAATCTCTGCAAAATGTTATTGCCCGAGGGATGCTTCAGAGTGTCTCACCTTGTCTAAGCTCTATGAACCCTCTAAATTTGGATGCTTAAACTTTTTTTTGTGTTGGAGACTGTTAAAATTCATCTGTATGTACTGTGAGAGCAAACAATATAAATGTGTTGTAAACCCCTTTATTCTTCTTCTGGGTAAGTTATCACAGAGCTTAGGCTTCAGAGGGATGGCCTGAGCTGGATTAAGCTACAGCAGTAAGGACATTACTGCTTCCAGGTGTCCGCAGCCTGAGCTGAGAGAGATCGGCAGGTTCGTGTTGGAGTGGCAAAAGGGAATTCTGTTCTCCTCAGCATCCTGCTGAGAGCTGGTTAAATGCTGCAGCTAAATCCAAAAGACTGAGTGCAGTTTAAACTAATTCACTGAACTTGTGAACTCCAGTATCCAGAGAGCCATTGCCTTTTTTTGCATGCTGTTTCTGCTGTCCTTGCTGTGAAGACAGTAATTGCTAGGAGGGTGGATGTCCAAGAATGTAATATCTTAAACCTCAGCACTTTAATCCCACAGAATAAATCTGTGGGAATACTGCAGGAGATCATATTGTCTGTTTAGAAACATTGGTCAATTTGTTTCTTTTGCTTATAAGATCATGACTAAACATTTTTATCCTTTGGGATATGTTTGTTTTTGTTTTAATTTTCACACTGGATATATAACTTAGTGTGCAACTCTATGATTGCTTTCTCTTAAAACACATTCAGTGTGTTTGCTATGAATACAAATATACAATGCAGAAAATAAGTGCCATAGCAGAAAACAAAACCTATCTATCATAATTTATTCACTCAGCAAGGCTATAAAAAATTTTAGTACATAATATATTAAAGCTATTCCTTTTGTTCCACCATTTGTTTTAACTGAGTTATATCAGGGTAAATGTGAACCAATAAATCTGTGTAATAGATCCTCACCTGCTACAATGCAATGCAATCCAAAAATTATTCAGATGTGTTTCAGTTGATGACTCTGGGCTTTGCTGTCTCTGACTGTGATTCTTTCATAACTGTTTGATCACGCTTTATTTAGTTTCATGAAGCCAAATGACAACTAGTTTTATGTTACTGGTTCCGTTGTTATATATCTTTTTATGGCTACTGGCTTACGTGTTAATGCAAGACAAAATAAACCATGAAACTACAGGGACATCTATACCAAAGATTACACCAGAGGAGCTAAACCTTGAACTAAGGCATCCTTCTCCACTTGAATGCATTTACAGCTGTGATCAGACTCAGAGGGAGCTGTGTAGCACAGCTGTTATCCAAAGAACCCTTATTTCAGCACTGTGTGCACTCCTGGAATATCCCACGTATATGCCACCAAGATGGGGTTAGTGCAGATGGCAAGTGTTTAGAGAGAAGGATTGAGGGGTATTCAAGCATTAACATAACAGGCACTGTACAAGAGCTTGTGATGCCGCTTTGTATTGTTTCTGTTTTGTGGAAAAATCAGAAGGGGGGTATATGCCAATGTGTTTGTAAATCCTGGCTGCAGTACATCCTATTCTTTTAGAGCCAGCCAGACACCAGCCATGTGCATGCAAGATGTTGTGATTGTTTTTCCTTCACTGCTTGCTTGGAAGCAGAGATCCCTAATTTTATCTTCACCACATGCAGAAATTCAAGATTATCTTCCATTTTCCCCATGATGAAAATGGGGACATTCTGAAATGAACATTTTGCCAGTATTCATGATCCTTTCAGACATCAATCTTGTCATGTGCCTTTTGTCTGAATTCTTGCCTAGGATAACAGACACTCTATGAAGCTGGAGAGGCTTGTGGCAATGAAATAAAAGAAGTTAAGTATCAAAACCAAAGCACTACTTTTTTCAAAAGACAAAATTTTCATGTGGGAAATTCTTCCTTTCAGAGATCTTTTAGTGTTTACTGGGAAGACATGAATGGCTGATAGTCTATCAGGTACCAGCTGAAATATCTAGTTTCATTTTTGTGGGCACCCACCAGTTGGCATACTAAAGCTTATCTTATTATAGTTTTGTTATTCTGTGTATGGCACTTAGCTTAATAAGGTAGGAGGGTGCATTTTTCTTCACAGAGTATTTTATTCAGAGACAAAGCCTCTGTGTGTTGTGAGTCTCCCCACTCAACTTTTGTGAAGGTTGAATGTGAATAAACTTAATCTGAACTGCCTGATCTAATAAAGAGCACAGTGCTAACAGCATTATGTGAACTCAAAGCCAATACAAAGATCCCCCTGACTCGATAGTTCCTGATGTTACTTTACCACTTGGACCTCAGGACCTGTAAGGCTATCCTTTTGAGTACACGAAATTATAATGGGTTATCAAATCAAAGCCCAGATAGTCGGAAAAGGAGAAGTCAAACTAAAGCTGACATACCGAAACCTCCAAACTATATTGTAAGCTGTAACCTTACTGTAGATAATAAAACTATACTAGGAATAAATGAGGCCCATTACTTCTTTTTTTCTCCATTGTCAATATGAAATTCTGATGATAGTCACTTTATTGCTCTGCATGAAGCTGCATATATTATTTAACCAGTATGAAAGATTTCCATCTATTCAGCTACGTGGGCAGCTTTCATGCGATCAAGTTTTATTCTGGCAGGGGAGTACTGCCAAGCTTTACTTTGGTTAAGTACATTAAAAGAAATTCTATCAGCCATGTGAGTCTGCATTGTAAAATTCTGGTTTGTTCCCTCGATATTATTTTCACTAAGGTTATCAATGCGAGAAACCTTTTCAGTAATCTTCAGCACACATTTGCTATGTAAATCAAATTATAAGTAGCAGATAAAACCTTGCTAGGGCTTCTAAACTGTGGTTGTAAAATGGATTTGAATTCAACACTCAGTCTAACTTAGAGAATGAAGAGCTTTGCTGTCTTACAAACTTCTGACTATACAGCTGTTAAATCTGCAGTTCCTGCCACATTCTGTTTTGGTGACCTTGTCACACGTACTTCAGGTGTGTTCTTCTCTCCCGTATGAATCAGTAGCGTATGATTTGTAATCTTTATTACAGTAAGGTAACACTTTGAGGCACTACCACAGTAGAAATTATAAGCAGGAAAGAGCATTTCAGGAAACAAAGAGTTTGGATTACTTTCTTATGAGTCACTAGGAGGCAGAGCTGTTCATTCTTTTTTAATCCTACTCTACACCCTGGAAAGAAGAGGCTGACAATGGGGCAGAATGGCTCATTTTGAGCTTGGGCTTGAGATTTGCCTTGACTGCAGTGGCATAGTTCTTGGTACTTTTGATCAGATAGTTTTCTGAAAAATTGAGGAGTTCAAAAGCACCCATTCCATTCTTTCTTGTCATGATAGCTGCTTTGGAGATCGTGGTGGCATGGCTCAATACTTCTCAGATCTGCTAGATCTAAAGATATAATAGATTTGATACATCACAAGTCCTTTTGCACTCTTTCCATCACTCTCTTCCAGAACTACTTTAGGTTCAGAAATCTGATACATCTTTTCAGTATGGTCCAGTTATCACCAAGATCCTTTGCATCCTTTGAGAGGGGCTGTGCTTACCTCCATCAGAATTTGGTTCCTCTCAGCCTCAACCATGTTGCATCTGCTTTTCCATCACTTTTGCTCAGATCACTCACACAGCTTCACGGCTGCTTCTGCTCTGCACTGTCTTCAGCCCTTTTTTTAACCACTTCTTTTTTAATTTGTCTTCCCATCTTTGGTTTCTTCTCTTGCCATCACTGTTGTCTTCCATTCCTGCAGGTGCCCATCAGCCCTAGAATGTGCCTCTGGGCTTATCTTTGCTTTATATCTTCATCTTATTTCTTTAGAGCAGCTGCTCTAACAGTGCCTGCTGCTTCTCAGTGCTGAGCCCTAATGGTTTGTCCCTGGACTTCTGGTAACACATTATTTTCAGACACTCACTCTGCAGGTCCTTGTTTTCCCACATGTGACTAAGGGTCAAACTTTACTCTTTAAATGGTTGCCAAGAAGTAAGAAGAGCAGTGATGAGTCAGAAGCTCTATAAAGCCAGCTGCATAATAAAGTTTAAGTGTTCAATGAATTAGAACAATGGGAACAGTCATAAAGCCTTCAGTGCCAAAATGGTCTTTTTGTTTATAAACACCTGCACAGTGGGATTTCCCGTTGCATGACTGTAGTGCTTTGGCTCTTTTTCATTAAAAGATAATAATTTTTCAAAATAGCACAAGCACTCAGGTTGAAGACTGAGAGAGTCCATGGGGAAATTGCGTTTAGATAAGCAATACTAGCCAGGTAACGCACGCTCATATTGTTTTTCTTTTTCCTGTTTGGCATTCTCTTTTGGACTTTATAGGGATGAAATAAGAGAAGAGGGTAAATTTTAGGGAATTATTGTTTTATTTCTGAAATAGATGCTTATGTCTTGCTCTAGACTCTGTTTAAACAGAGTCCTGGATTATGTCAATCCGTGACACTGGACAATAAATCAAGGCATGGCAGATTCTCTAATTTTTCTACAAATGTTGGCTGCACATTAATTTCTGTACATATCCCTCTGCTTTTCTAAACAGAATGAGCAATGGCAAAAAATGCTTCAAGAATGAGCTACACTTCAGATCGTGTTGGTGGCTTAAGCACTTTGAACAGCGGTGAGGTTGCACTCATGGCAGCCCATTTTTGGTTACTTCCCTGTACTTTTCTAAAATAAGAATTAAAGCTGTCTTAAAGAGCATAATAAGCATGCCTAAAGGAGGGTTTGGCATTTCCAAGGAGCTCCTAGCTTTACTGAGAGAGTAGAAAGAGGAAAAGTAGAAAGAAAACACTTCAAAATAAAAAAGCACATTTTAAAAGTTTCAAATTATATGCAAATCTATTTATTATTCATATACTCAGCATTCAGGAAGGGCTGAAGCATTCAAAGGCAACATACAGTTGTGACTCTGCCTTTCCAAACTTCAAGCATGCACTTAGTAAATCTCCTTGAGAACCATGCATAGGATTTTTCTAGGGTCTGAATGAAGAATTTTGTAAGTGGCTATTACAGACCGTGAAGAAGCAAGAAGTAAAAACATAAGTATGTTGAAATTCCTTAGATCGCCCTCTGAATTTTTCCTAATTAACTTCTGCTGCAGGTTTTCTATTCAGTGTCTTATGGTTCTCTTTTACTGGTAAGTTTTTATGTGTAATACTGGCATGCAGCTAGAGATAGAAATCAATAACTATGGGAATGCTTAGGAAGGAGCTGAAGGCTGGAGCTGTTACAGAGATGGGAAAATGTCCTTTACAAGTATAAGGGAGGCAAGATGAGACAAAGGAAAGTAAGCATCTTTCATCTGATCAACAAAATACAGACAAACAAAAAAAAAATCTCTTCTTTCTGAGCTGAAAACAGACACAACAGCACCAAGTGCAATTATGAACAGTTTATGTTGATGTAAATAAATTCAACTCTTTCTTAAGATAATTTAAAAGACAAAAATCACTGATGATACCTGTGAAGAAAAATGATGATATTACAGTGATTATTCTCTCTGGAAGGGACAGGAAGACAAGTGTTTGTCACTTACAGAAAAAGATCTGGGTGTAGATAAATTTTTACAGCCCTTGAAAGCAAAACATGCTCCTTGTGGAGGCACACTCGTTCCCAGTTATTATGCTCTTAGACCATTTTCCTGTACCTTCCTAGAGGATCAGAACTAAGCCAGAACTGGAGCTCTGTGGCAGTGGTGTGTTATGATATTCCTGTCCTCTGTCAATTGTGAATTCATTCTGATGTGTAGAGATAGTTTATTTTTGCACACATGTTTTCTTTGAAGGCAACTTAGTAAATAATAAGCACATTATATTTGGGAACACTGATATAAGGTGAATGAGAGCACTGAGTCCTTCCCATCTCCATATTCTATGAAGTATTTACAATGATCAGTTTATGTAACTTAAAGCACCTTAAATTCACATAGAATCTCATTCCAAAGCTCTACTCAGTACAGTTTAAGCCACATTAAATCAGTCACAAGTTGCTTTACCTCTTTCTGTGCTAATTCCATGAAGGGACATAAAATTTTTCATTGATTTTTTTTCATAATTTTCCTTGTTCTCCCATGGAGAAGGTCTTACTAATTTATTTGTGAACAGTTATGTGAATATATAATTTTAAAAATCATTCCTAGATTTAAAAGGCTGTTAAATCAAATTAAAATATGCACAGTCACAGAGAGCACTGAATCTTTTTCACACTGGCTGCAAGCTATCTGCACCTGTGAGGCATGTCTGCTTCACAGACCCAAGTACCTGCTGGAGCTTCCAGCAGGCCTTCCAGTCTTTGCCATGGTGTAAGCTGACTTGCAATCAGAGTAAGGAGGCAAAAGCATATGCAGAGATCTGTTCAAAATTTGTTTGGCCTTGACCCACACACTAGTCATGACTAATAGAAAAAAAAAATCATCTTTACCACTGAGTGTATATTGCAAGTAAACAGTTTTGCAGAACCCATGTTTAGAATCCTTGTCTCACATCATCTTGGATTAGCATAGGGTTTTTCCTCTATGGAAAGCCACTCAGCAGAAGTCCATAACTTTCTGACCACAGTTTCATGGGAGAGGCAACTACATATGGAAGTGGTATATTTTCATTTGCTGAAGTTTGGTGATTTCATTTAAATTTCTCTGGTACTGTTACTCCTCAGCTTTCCTGAAAAGTGAGGTGGGGGAAAGAGAATCTCACCCTGTAGTACAAGCATGGTTTGATGAGATGGGGTATGTCTACATCAACTTTTTAGTTCAAATTAGGAGGGCACTTTTCAATGCAACTCTCCCAACCCCTACACACTGTGCTTTGGTTTGTGGTGTAGAGCTGTCTCAGAACATGTGAGATGCTTTTATTTTGAAGGAAACAAAGTTGTAAGATTTTCTCCAGAGGTGTTTGTAGTATGTTCCAGCTGAAAACAAGAATTCAACTAGTGGAATCAGGGCCACTCTGAAATGAAAATCTGCAAATTGAGAAAATTGCAGATGTGGGATCTCCAGCAGCAAGTGTTTTGCTCCAGAGAGCTGCTTTTGCTGGTGTGCATCACAGGTTAAGGTGGGTCAGCCCTTGTGATCTCAGGTGTGCAGCATGTACATGTGGGCAGAGGTTCCCCCAATTTCCACCAGTATTAGAAAATTATTTACTTCCACATATGCTGTGATAAGAGACATATAGACATATATTGACATTAAAAACTGCCAGTAGGCTAAGGAAGAGCAAGGAAGACTTTCAATATGGATTTTTTGAAGTGCACTTCTAAAAAACAAATATGTGCTGTAGGGAGCTACCTGTCCTGGTTTGACATAAATGAATCATTCCAAGCACCGGAGGCATCAGAAGACACCTAATCCTAAAGTCAGTTCAGCAAAATTAAGACCTAGTTATTAAGTATAATCACCAACGTTTATAGAGCAGATTACTGCTTTTGGTTGCTGCTGATGTAGATATCTGATATACCACCATTGACGTACCAAGTGAGCACTTGATTTTTCAAGGTTCATTATGTAATTAGTTCATATTTTTTTGCTAGGTGTTTCTTACTGTAATGTCTTCATATCATCTGCAAAATCTTTAACATAAATTTCACAGATGAATTATTGGTGAAGTTCTGCCAAGCTAATTAAATGTGAGAAATGTACTCATTGCATTTGTGAATATGCATATTATTTCATACAAGTTTGCTAGCAAATGTATTAAAGGAATTTCTGTAAGTAAGTATGTAATTTCTATAAATAATTATGTTTTGGAAAATTTACAGTTGTTTTTACTATGTTCTTGTGCTTCTTTTTCTGTAAATGTGTGGATGCATTACACATTCATATGGGGGTGAATTCCTCTACACCCTCAAGCCTCTAGATAGAAGGTAGTTCACCAGAATCAAGATTAAGTACTTGTGAACTTCATGTTCTGGTTCTTCTTTGGTCTGTGCCTGTTTCTTTCTGTGCTTTATTTGGAGAGGGGAAAGGTGTGGCAGAAGGGTAGCTGGTTATGAAGTGGACTCTGACAAATCCCCTTGGTCTTGACCTCCAAGTTGAATGTAATCATGTAGCTTGTTTACTCTGAGTTAATAGAGTCTGTGTTTAACATTTATGGTATTTGATTAATGAAGGTTTGGCTGTTCCTTTGCTGAAGGAAAGGACACGTGTTTGAGGTCCACTGCTTCCACTTATGCAAACACAAAATCAGGTTTCAAATCTTACTCAAGGGTGTACTTCATCAAGGGGACAATATACAACCTTCAGTCTGAAATCAGCTGTCAGAAGCAAAAAGTACTGTGTGGTTTTTTAATCATAGGTGAGAGTAGCTGTCTTCGAGCATCTAGCTTTCCATACCACTGAACACTGCCCAGTATTCAGAAACAGTGGAAGAAACAACAGGCCTGGAAATCCAAGGCTGGTTTGGCCTTTGTATTCTTCATATTCCTCAGCACAATATCCTACATTCCCTGCTTCAGGCTCCCTTTCAGATGCCCAGTGCCCACAGCAGATGCTGTCTAATCTGAATTATAACAATCATGTCATGTTCAGTTTGATGTACAGTACTAACTCTCAGAAACCACATGCCATTTAGAGCAAATCAAGTCCTGTATACCAAATATACAAAAGTTTTAATCCACTCCTCCCTTAATCAACTTTATTTACTCTGTTGAATTAGGGACAGTAGAGATCTCAGTAATTATCTGTACATCTATCTATTTGCCATAAGGATAGCAGTGGTTCTTTGACCTAGATGTTTTTGCCCAGATTCAGAGCAAAATCAGAGGGAGAATAGCATGGTTGCTTACTGTAAGATTGACTTAAAAGTAAGAAATTTGGTTTGAAGCAATAAGATGTGGATTTGTTTATGGAAGAATAACA